CCCCAAAACCCCAAAACCCCAAAACCCCTTTTTTAAATGAGGTGGTTGAAAATAGAGTTTAAATCTAAACTTAGTGAAATCGGTATAGAATTTAGTATAAATACCACATATGTGAGGTATAAGATTTAACTGGTACTTTGGAAAATGTTGCTTTCTGTGTATACAAGTACATTAAGCGAACAATTTACCCTGTTGTAGAATCTACCGAATCTTTCCGAATTACAGAAGAGTTAATTTCTAATCAAAATCCTTTCATTAGACATACTTTTAAAGGCTAAAAGACACCTCTGGTCCTAGTTGTGAAAGTCCTGCCTCTCAGATCTTACTAGAAATTACGAATAACTTTTACTCTAGCTCTTCTTAGCTTGATTAGTTTTTTAGTAATCTAATTCAAGAGGAGGTAGGCACCATGATCTCAAAATGTCGATCACCAAAGATGGAACAAACTGACTTCAGCTTTGGCCGGGTTACTGGCCAGGATTCATACTAAGATTTTTAAGTTAAAATTTGGGTTGAATGCGAAAGGAATCTTAGAAGGCTTTGGAATACTGCAAACTTGGAGAATGCTCATTTTTCAGATAGAGGCAAGCAAGCATCTGTATGGGTGTCAACCCATAAGGCTCCATATTTGGAGGAGGACAGATTTGTGTGATAGGAGAAGAACTGGCAATTAAGATACACCCTTACCAAGTTGATACACTCATAAAGTCCTCTTTGTGGAGTCTTGGGAATTTAAGATAAGGCTAATTTTTGATATTAAATGCACATTTTTATGATACTTGTTGAAAGTTACCTAATATTTTACAGAGAAAGCTGACTTTTCGTAAACATCCTAATTGTCCACAGCAAGAGGGATTTTATCGCTGTTCATCACACACACATTTCTCAAAGTTTAGGGGCTAACAATCCTTATCCTAATCACAACATAAAATTGCTAGGAAATTCCAACTTCAATTGACCTCAGTGTTCATACATCTATCAAAACCTTATTAGCTTTTCTTGATCTCACAAAGTGCAATTTTTTGCCATAACACATTCTAAACTAGAGGAGATTCCAAATTTCAGGAATATAAGCTATTGCTAATTTTAGGACTCACGTTATCAACTGAAATTAAATGGTCTGTAGAATATATCTATAATATCTAGCCTATTGCTAGTCTTATGTATTCACTATGACAACCATTTCCAAGCCAAACTGATGAGAATATTTACTTTGGAGAAATCAGTCATCGTATCAAAGTCTAAGTTTGAACTATAGTCCATCTTCTACCTTCTGGACTTTATTTTGGATGATTTTCCCTCTGTTCTTAAGGATGATTTTCACACTCAGAAAATAGTATGCTAAGCAGCGTTAAGATCAATAATAGAACTTAGAAGGATTAAAAGTATTACAATCACAGCATTAATAAAGGGGTTTTGGGGTTTTGGGGTTTTGGGG